TTACAGCTAGTAACAATTAAAATCCAAGCATTCTGATTCCAGAGCCCATAGTCAAGCACAGCAAATCCCACAAACCTGAGTTACTGAAAATGTCTACCTTGTGTTCATACGGCTGCAGGTCACCTGGCATCACCTTTTCTCACTCTTACTCTATTCTGGGTATACTAGAGATTTATTTTTTTTAACTCAAGGACTAGGTGCTGTCCTTGCGCATTTTTGCTCAAGGTTAATGCTTTACCAATTGAGCCACAGCTTCACTTCCAGCTTTTCTAGTGAGTAATTGGACATAAGAATCTCATGGGAAGTGGCGCTGTAGCTCAAGTGGTAGAGCCCTAGCCTTGAGCTGAAGAGTAGAGGGACAGCGCCCAAGCCCAGAGTTCAAGCCCCACGACTGAAAAAAAAAAAAAAAGTCACATGAGCTGGGTGCCGGTGGCTCATGCCTGTAATCCTAGCTACTCAGGAGGCTGAGATCTGAGGATCAAGGTTCAAAGCCAGCCTGGGCAGGAAAGTCCGTGAGACTCTTATCTCCGATAAACCACTAGAAAACCAGAAGTGGCGCTGTGGCTCAAGCTCTAGAGCACTAGCCTTGAGCTGAAGAGCTGAGGGATAGTGCCCAGGCCCAGAGTTCAAGCCCCACAACCGACCAAAAAAAAAGAATCTCATGGACTTTCCTGTCTGGGCTGACGCTGAACAGTGATTCTCAGATCTCAGTATCCTGAATAGCTAGATTACAGGTGTGACCCACCAGCACCTGGCCTAAACATTCAAAGGGTAGTAAAGGGCTCTGTGGGAAGAATTATAGAGGATGAGTTTACAGAGTGGCATTATGGCCCTCGAGATCTTTCAGCAGGGAACAGAAGGGTAAAAATACTCTGGAGTGGTCAGAAAAACAAACAAAAAAACCCAACAACAAATAGAAGTGCCAGGAATTTATACAGTACCTGAGCCATCCACTAGGTGTCAGCACCAAGATTACTTTCTCAAAATGCCTAGGGATGGGATTAGGCCACACAGAACATTTCTTGAGGAAACCCTGCTTTTTTTGGTCCCTTGAGGGCTTGAACTCTGGGCCTGGGCACTGTCCCTCAGCTCTACCACTTGAGCCACAGCACCACTTCCAGTTTTCTGGTGGTTTACTGGAGATAAGAATCTCACAGACTTCCTACCACAATTCTCAGATCTCAGCTTCCTGAGTAGTTAGGATTACAAGTGTGAGGTACTGGTGCCCAGCTTCTTGAGGAAATCTTGATCCCTCTTTTCTTTCTTTTTTGTTTTGTTCTGTTTGCAGATGCTTATTGAACATTACAGTTGACTGAGGCCCTGGAGGCCATCTGCTCGCCATCCCTAGGTTTCCTTGGATGGTGGTCAGGTGAGGCTCTCTGTGTGCCTGCTGCATGATCAGGACCCCAGGAGGACACACTAGAAGCTGCACGGAGTGGCAGACACATTTTATTCATGCCACATAAGAAGTGCTGCTTCTACAAGTATATGTACAGTGATGTTCTGTGTTCTCATCTAACAAAGCTTGCTTAAATGTGCAGGCAGACTGGCATTTCACCTCGTGCACTCAAAGGAGCTGGCTAATGATGGCCCTGAGAAGGTGCGGGAGTGAGCCAGGCATGGTGGCTCATGCCTGTAATCCTAGCTACTCAGGAGGCTAAGATCTGTCTGAGTATTGCAGTTCAAAGCCAGCCCAGGCAGGAAAGTCCACAAGACTCTTATCTCCAATAAACCACTTGGAAAACAGGAAGTGGCTCTGTGGCTCAAGTGGTAGAGCTCTCGCTTTGAGCTGAAGAGTTGAAGAATAGGGCTCAGGCCCAGAGTTCAAGCCCAACGACCAGCTGACCGACAAACAAAACAAAACAAGGTGCAGGAGTGGAACTTTTTCAAGCCTTACTTCTTTTTATACACGATGAAGCCCATCAAACCTATCCCTACCCAGATCTCCTGGTAAACCTGGGTGTTAGTAGGGTTTCAGGGGGACACAGATGATTTTTCATAAAGCTTTGAAGTTATCTTGACAGGACAGAGGGCTCAGACCTTACCAGACCCCATAACCATCCACCAAGAAAGGTCACAAGCACTCCCTTTTTTTCTCTTTTGGAACTGGGGATCAAACTCAGGACGTTGCACTTGCTAGGCAAGCAAAGACAAGCTCTTTGCCTCTGAGCTATATCCCAGCTCTTGAATTACATTTTTGTTGTTGTTGTTGTTTAGTCATGGGATTGAACTCTGGGCCTGGCATGGTCCCTGAGCTCTTCATCTCAAGGCAAAGCACTCTACCACTTGAACTACAACGCCACTTCTGGTTTTCTGGTGGCTAATTGGAGATAAGAGTCTCACGGGGAATCTCCTGCCCGGGCTGGCTTTGAACTGTGATCCTCAGATCTCAGCCTCCTGTGTAGCTAGGATTACAGGTGTGAGCCACCAGCGCCCGGCTTTGAATTACTCTTTTGAGGTTAAGAACCAAACATCCCTGAGGTCTGCCAGACTTTTCTTCTTGGGTTTGTCATCAGGTGTGTGTACTCAGGCTCTTCCACCACTCCAGGCTCCTCTCAGCCTTCTCCAGCTAAGTGTTAGTTAGTACCATCACCACATAGGACTTCTGGCTGCTCCCTCTCTTCAGTCCTCACATTCCTTTTTCTTAATTAGATCTAGAATTCCTTTCGGCCATCTCCATTGCTGATTGCTTAACAACGATGATGGTGGCTGATTACTGGGTGCTTTCCATGTGAGCACACCCATGAGGCACATTCCAGTTGGTCTTATTTTGTGGATGAGGAACCTGAGGCCAATACATTGAGTAACTTGCCCAAGTGGCGAGAGAACTAAGCATCCTTCAGCTGCTCTGTAGAGGTAGCCCTTGCCTCCAAAGCCTTTGTACTAAGTCAGTACCCAATACCACTCAGTTCAGGCAACTGTTGTCTCTTACTTGGACTTCCATACCAGCCTTACAACTAGCATTCCTGCTAGCAGCCTGGCATCATAAAAACCTATCCTCCTCATTGGCCAGAGCTATCTTTCCACAATGCAAAATGAGTCATGGCACTAACTCTGTTTAAACCTTTCAGTAGTTTCCTTCCCACCCTTGAGATAAAGTCTAACTTTTCACAATGGATAATAAAGTCTTTTACAAATTGGTTCCTGTCCAACTTGAAAGTGTGGCATGAGGCAATAGTTCTCTATGGGGCCATTTTGGAATTTTGGGCCCTGGTTTCCGCCCTATTACTGGGTTTGATCCTATCCTTTGTGTCTTGTGTTTGATAGATTACTCTCTCCCTAAATGAGATGGATGTCCCTGTGTCTACCCTGGTGACTGCCCGTAACACAGAGTGATATTCCACAGCACAGGGAATGCCCCCTGAAGGGTGGCATCTTGGTTAAGGTTTGAAAATGAGGCAGAGACACATGATAGCTGGTATAAAAGGCACTGAGGTGAGAATTAGTTGGTCTACTGCACAGGCAGGGAGCAGATCTACACAGTTAGTGTACAGTGGTGAAGGCAGGGGCAGGTAGGAGATGAGGTTGAAGAACTGGAAGGCTCTATCCAATAATTTGGAACCCACCCCCTGGTGGTCCAATCACCTTCAGGCATGCAGGATGTAGACATTTGAACCTGCTGATCCTTAGGTCTGGAATGTGTTCCTTGCCCTCTCTGGTTGGTAATAAAATCTACTCATCCTCTAGGAGCTAGTAAAAAAAAAAAATTTACGAAATCTCCTCTCCTTCTTTAGCAGGAATTAAATCACTCCTTTGTCGTCCCACAGTCTGTATGTCCCCTTGGCCCTGGTCACATGCTGCTTTGTATTTTAGCACATTGTTTACATGCTAGCCAGCCCACGAACACCACCACTTCCCTTAAGGGCAGACTCTTACATCACCTCTGTAGCCATCTCCCAGTGCCTAGCCCAGTGCCTGGCTCACAGCAGGTACTCAGTGTGACATTTACTAGACTAATGGGGTGGGGAACTGCACCACTCATGGTAAGATAGAAAGAAAGCAAAAATAACAACTTATGGCTTATAACGTGCCCTCCCACTCATTACTGGAGTTAAGCCTTCGAATAACCCTAGGAGGACTGAAGGGACAGGTACCCGGGAGAGCTGTTTTACAGACAGGGTAGCTGAGGTTCCTTATTTCGGGTTCAGTGCCATGGATACCGTTGAGGTAAAGAGCATTTTGAGGACTTAAAGCAATGGGCTTGCCTGGAATGGTAAAGTGCTGGGGGGTGGGGGGGGGGCGGGGGAGGAGAAGAGGGACTAGTTAACTACTACAGAGTTAGTAGCTCCACTAGGGAGGGTACAGGATTTCTGCCCTAGGCCCAAGCACCATCCTTCCGCCTAGGTCTGAGACGTGGGGAAGCTTCAGCCCACGGCATCCGCGGGAAGGATGGTGGGGCCGGGTGGCTGAGATGACGTAACGGATAACTCGTTCGCAGGGGCCTGCCTCGCTGTTGCTATGACAACCAGAGCTTGCCTACGGGGCCCAGGCAAGAGTCCGCGGAGGCTTCCACTAGCTGTAAATCAGGGAAGGGCATTTATGGAGGGTGGTATGTACGTGTGTGTGTGTGAAACACATGAAAAAGAAGCATATTCAAGAAAGTTTCTCTACCTCGACAACACAGACTCACTGGTGCAATTTTAAAAAGTCTGAAAAAGCGAAAGCTGCACTTGACTCTCTAGGGGCAGAACCCCGGCGTCACCCGCTGTTGAAGGCTTCCCAGATAAGTTCCAATCGCATCCAGAAAGACAAACGCCGGCTTTCGGCGGCGAAGCGGAGTCCTGGCGACCTTCTCAAGATGGCGGCCCCGGCCACTTCCGCCCTGACGGAAGCCGGAAGGGGGCGGGCTTTCCCGCAGCGCATGCGCCTGAGGCTTCTTCGCGCCGGGTGCTCACCTCCTCCCCCCTCCACCCCTTTTTTTTTTTTTTTTTACCCCCGCCTCCATTTTGTTCGCGGACGCTGGGGACAGTGGGAGCAGATCCATTTCCGGGTTGGTAAAAGGGGCGGCGGCGGCGAAGGAGAGAGCTTGACGGGAGTGGGGGGGGGGGGTGGCCAGCGGGACAGGACGAAACCTGAGCGGAGGTGGCGGAGGATTCGCTCCCGGAGCAGCTGCAGCCAGGTCGGAAAGAAGCTGGAGTGGCCGGGTCCGTCGCTGAGGTGCCGGGTGGGCCCGAGTGGGAGGGAGACCCGGGGGAGGGGAGCGCGGGGCGGGGCTTGAGGGGAGAGGGGCCGCGGAGGAGGGGCCTGAGGAGGAGAGGGGGTCCCGAGGGCGGGCTCTGAGGGCCGGGAGGGCCGGGCCAGTGGGTCCTGGGGAGGGGGGGGGCGTGCGGGGATCTGAGTGCCGCGGAGTGGTCGGGGGATTGTGGGGCGCCCGCGGGCTGTGGAAATGGGGAGGGAGATTGCCGAGAGAGCGAAGGGATCCTGAAGGGTTGGGTCAGGTGAGTAAGACGGAGCCTCGGCGTGAGGAGTGAAGTGACCGTGTGCAAAAATTAAAAAAAAGGGAGGAGATGGGCAGGGAGGACCTGTTGGGGAAATGCAATCGGCCAGTGTGACACATTCTGGGGATTGATGTAGGTGAAAAGGGATGGTGGAGAGGATGACTCGGGAAAACTGCTTACCTGAATGGGAATCGTGAGGTCGTCAGTGGAGAGGGATCAGAATTGAATTACAGGGTGGACTGAGAAATGTGGAGGCGCGCTTGGGAGCGCCTGGAGTTGAGGGTTCATCTTGGTGTGGGGAGTGAAGTCAGGGAAGGTGGACATCTTAAAGTGGTAGACGTGGGATTGAGTTACTTGATCGAGAGGGAACATTTTCAAAAGATCAGGGTGGAATGAGCAGCTGGAAGAAGCTGCTGTGCACACACACACACACACACACACACACACACACACACACACACACCTACACCTACCTGCTGGGGGTCATACCTAAAACTCCCAGCCCTGGAGAGCTTTGTGTGTGTGTGCTCAGGTCTTAGGGCTTGAACTCAGGGCCTGGGTACTGTTATTGAGCCTTTTCTGCTCAAGGCTAGCGTTCTATTTAGTTTAGCCACAGCTCCATTCCCGACTTTTTGGTGGTTTATTGTAGATAAGGTTCTCTTGGAGTTTCCTGGCTGTGCTGACATGGAACTGTGATCCTTAGATCTCAGCCTCCTAAGTAGCTAGGAATACAGGTGAACCCGGCTGGAGTTCGTGTTGTTGTTTTTTTTTATTTTTCCCCCCAGTTCTGGAATTTGAACTCAGGGCCTGGCACTGTTCCTAAGCTTCTTTTACTCAAAGCTAGCACTCTACCACTTGAGCCACAGTGCCACTTCTGGCTTTTTCTGTATATGTGATATTGAGGAATCAAATCCAGGGTTTCCTGCATGCTAGGCAAGCACTCTACCACCAGGCCACAATCCCAGTCCTGGATTTCCTATTTTTAAAGGGACTTGGAATAAACTTTTTGGGCTCTCCCAGGGACTCACTGCTTTTTTTTTTTTTTTTTTTCATGATGCTTATATTTGTCTTACAGTTTGTTGTTTCTGAATGACACCGTTTTGGGCTACTACTTTTCTTATGAATCAGGAGAGAATTTAAGGGAATAGACTAGCTCATCTATGGATTTACTTAATAGCTTTGAGACAAATCATCAACTAGGTCTGGCTCATTCCATTCTCTAAGAGAGTGTGTTAACCTAAAGAGATCTTTAAAGTGGTGGTAAAGACATGATCTTTGAAAACATGACTATGATATTGTTATTTAGAAGACATGCTTTCCCTCTTTTCCCTTATTTCTTCTTCTTAGCCTTGCTGCAATTTATTTATTTATCTATTTTTTATTTTTGTCAGTCATGGGGCTTTAATTCTGGGCCTGAGCTCTGTCCCTGAGCTCTTCAGCTCAAGGTTAGTGCTCTACACTTGAGCCACAGCACCACTTCCAGTTTTCTGGTAGTTAATTGGAGATGAGTCTCATGGACTTTTCCTGCCTGGGCTGGCTTTGAACCATGATCTTCAGATCTCAGCCTCCTGAGTAGCTAGTATTACAGTCATGAGCCACTGGCGCCCTGCTTTTTGCTGTAATTTTTTTTTATGCCAGGAAAGAATTGGCTTTGAATTGAGGCATGTTTAATTTTTTTTTTTTGTGGATGTGCCAGTCCTTAGGCTTGAACTTAGAGCCTTGTGCTCTCGTATGCTTTATCACTCAATGCTAGTGCTCTTCCACTTGAACCATACCTCCACTTGCAGCTTTTTTTTTTTTGTGGGTCATGGGGCTTGAACTCTGGGCTTGGGTGCTGTCCCTGCACTCCTCAGCTCAAGGCTAGCATTCTACTGCCTGAGCCACAGTGCCACTTCCGGTTTTCTAGTAGTTTATTGGAGATAAAGAGTCTCATGGACTCTCCTGCCCGGGCTGGCTTTGAACCTTGATGCTCAGATCTCAGCCTCCTGATTAGCTAGGATTACAGGTCTGAGCCACTGGTGCCCGGCACACTTGTAGCTTTTTACTGGTTAATTGGAGGTAAGAGTCTCAAGGATTTATCTGTCCAGTCTGGTTTCAAACTGTGATTTCAGCCTTCTGAGTAGCAAGAATTACAGGTGTAAGCCACCTGCACTTAGCAATGTTGAATTTTTAAACTGCTCTTAGTATCAACTTAAAAAAATCAAGTAGTTTGTATTATTGTGTGACATCGTGTTGGGTTCTGTTACCTACCATCAAGATGAAAATAAAAAGAAGCTAGAGTTGGGGATAAATGATAATGGCTGGGGGCTGGGAAGGTGGTTCAGTGGTAGAGCGCTTGCCTTGCATGCCTGAGGCCCTGGGTTGGATTCCTCAGCACCACATAAGCAAAAAGAAAAAAGCCGGAAGTGGCACTTTGGCTCAAATGGTAGAGCGCTAGCCTTGAGCTGAAGAGCGCAGGAACAGCGCCCAGGCCCAGAATTCAGGCCCCACGACTGGACCCCTCCAAAAAAAATGATAATGGTTGATGGAGGCTGGGAGTATGCAGTGTTTTATTTTCTAGTCATCAGCTTTTCTGCCTTCACACTTTTGAGAGTTCACTAAAAAGTAGTATTTTATAAAGTTTAATCTTATGCTTTGGTCTAGTGATTATGTCCTTGTTAGTTGGCGGGGTGGGAGAACTCATGTGTTTGTGCACAGTCTTAGCTATTTTATTATTCTTTGAAATCCTGACTCCTAGCTTTTTCATTGGGCATCATATTCAACACTTTGCTTGAGACTTGCTTAATCTACAAGTGTTTCTTAAAGTCTTGGCATTTCTCAGTTCTGACGTGGACTTGCTAAAAGAGGGGGCAGTTTCTAATTGTATCTCACACTTGATATCAGAATAGTTGTTTACCCTACTTGGTACTGATTAGTTATGTGATATCAGCACAAAGGTGAAATGCAGGAGAGAGCTGAAGGTGTTGAGAATAGAAGTTTTCATGTTTTACTGATGCTTTTTTTTTTTTGGTCCCCATCTTGCTGCTTAACACAGGGCTGGGCACTGTCCCTGAGCTTCTTTTGTGCAAGGCAAGCACCCTACCACTTGAGCCACAGCACCACTTCTAGCTTTTTCTGTTTTTTTTTTTTTTGCTAGTCCTGGGGCTTGAATCTCAGGACTGGGCACTGTCCCTGAACTTCCCCCCGACACCCCAAGGCTAGAGCTCTACCACTTGAGCCACAGCACCACTTCCAGCTTTTTCTGTGTATGTGGTACTGAGGAATGGAACCCAGAGTTTCATGTATGCTAGGTAAGCACTCTACCACTAAGCCACTTTCCCAGCCCATCCTTTTCTGTTTATATGGTACCGAGGAATCAAATCCAGGGCTTTGTGGGTGCTAGGCAAGCACTCTACCACTAAGCCACATTCTCAGCCTTTTTTTAGTAGTTTTTTGGAGATAAACTATCCAACTTTCCTGCCAGGTATACCTTAGAACTGTGATTCTCAGCCAGGCGTCCGTGGCTCACGCCTGTAATCCTAGCTACTCAGGAGTCTGAGAACTGAAGATTGTGGTTCAAAGCCGGCCTGGGCAGGAAAGTCCATGAGACTCTTATCTCCCATAAACCACTAGAAAACCGGAAGTGGCATTGTGGCTCAAGTGGTACAGGGCTCACCTTGAGCTGAAGAGCTAAGCGACAGCATCCAGGCCCCAGAGTTCAAGCCCCCCAACCGACAAAAAAAACAAAACCACACCCCCCCCCAAAAAAAAACAACAACTGTGATCCTCAGATCTCAGCCTCCTGACTAGCTAGGATTACAGGTGTGAGCCACTGTCACCTGGCTTCATTGATGGCTTTTTTTTTTTTTTTTTTTTGGGTCAGGGGCTTGAACTCTGGGCTTGGGTGCTGTCCCTGCACTCTTCAGCTCAAGGCAGGCGCTCTACCGCTTGAGTCACAGCGCCACTTCCGGTTTTCTAGTGGTTTATTGGAGATAAGAGTCTCCTGGACTTTCCTGCCCAGGCTAGCTTTGAACCTTGATCCTTAGATCTCAGCCTCCTGAATAGCTAGGATTACAGGCGTATGCTGCTGGCACCCGGCGCCTGGCACCCGGCTCACTGATGGCTTTTAAGAAGAGAAGATAGTGGAAGGCTTGGCTGAGAGGTGGCTCATATGCCTAGCAAGAAGGAGGCCCTGAGTTCAAAGCCCAGTACCACAAAAAAAAAAACCCCAAAGTATATGTATTATTGAATGTTCTTTCTTTTCTTTTCTTTTTTTTTTTTGCTTATGTGGTGCTGAGAAATCCAACCCAGGGCCTCAGGCATGCAAGGCAAGCGCTCTACCACTGAGCCACCTTCCCAGCCCTGAATGTTCTTTCTTAACTTGTCTCTCTGATGGGCTGTCTGATACACTTCAGTCTGTTTTCCTATTATGCTAAAATTTTGGGGTTTTTTTCTTGCCAGTCCTGGGGCTTGAAGTCAAGGTCTGGGCACTGTCCCTCAGCTTCTTTTGTTCAAGGCTAGCACTCTACCACTTGGGGTACAGGGCCACTTTTGGTTTTTGTAGAGTGTTTTGAGATAATATGGAGGCTCTTTGCTAGACTTTTTTTTTTTTTTTTGGTGAAAGAAGGAGAAAGATGAGGAGAGAGGGAGGGGGAGAGAAGGAAGGAAGGAGGGCAGAAATAGATCAAAGATCACTATAAGA